AGGAGGGGAGGGGGGGGGCTGTTATTTATAACCAGACAGAGAGTATGTTTCAGGACCACACACTGTGATTCGTATTTTTACAGTCACAGTTGGACCGTTGTCGTCATAGAAAACACTATATTGAAAAAAAAAAAAAATCTTTTTTTTTATTTTTTTTATAAAATGTATCCAAACCCAATGAGAATCCTGGAGATTTTCATAAACTGCAGATGTATTTTATATCCTGTATAATGTATAGTTATATAGTTATATATTATATACTGTATAATGTAGTTTCACACACACAAGAAAAATGGCGCCTATCGTGACGTTCGTTGTAAATCACTACATGCTACGTTGTGCTAAAAAAAGAAAGAAAAGAGGAAAAAAAAACCCTGGCAGGTTTTGTCTAAAATATATACGATTAAAGTTCAAGTCCAACAGAGGAATAAATTGAGAACTTCGCGTAAGTTTACCGTACAAACAGACTCTGTGAATATAATCGTCGTGAACCGCAGCTTGTTAGCTCTTTAGCTAAGCTAACTATCGCCGGAAACGTACATAAAATATATTTTTAAAAAATGATGTACTTAAGAGGTCGACCTGTTCTACAGCACTACTGTATTACGTAAACTACCGTCGATATATGATATTTATCGTCACCACAGTTGACCTGGAGGAATGACGTATTCGTAGTAGTTAGCCTACATTAGCCTACATTAGCCTCGGACTGTTTACCGTTGTCAAAGTAATGGCGGACTTGACCGCATATCAATCATTTACGGCAAATGCTAGCCGCGCCGGAATTTCGTAAGTTCTTACACCCTTAAAAAAATATATTTCGATTCTATTTTAAGTGTTTTAATCGTAATTACGCGCTAAATCATTTTTATTATTTTTGTTGTCGTTGACGTAGTGTAGTTTTTTTTAATTTACCGCTCGACGGAGATAAAACAAAATGGTTGCAGTGGAGCTGAGAAGACTACAGACACCGATGTTATCGTCAGCCCGGGACGGACAGACGATAAACCGACACCAACGTGAAGACGTGAGTATTAAAATAGTCAAAATACTGAACTGAACATTCATGTTGTTTAATTATGTTACCGTTTACCTAAATACGTCACTGTTGTCAGAACACGTCATTTTCAAAAACAACAACGTTCCAGAAAGTTCCAGAGAGAAATTACACGAAATGTTTACGACAAAGTGAGTTTTTATTTGACCGTTTTAATGTGTTTTTATTGTTTTGGTTTTATTTTAAAATTAACGTCATAAAAACGTGAACCATGTGAACGGCACAAAACTCTTTTCTGTTCCACATGGGGTCGCTGTTGCTCGCGAAAAAGAAGAAGAAGCAGAAGCAGCAGCTGGTCGGGGTCTAAATCTATATTGTCCTGAAACAACTTTTACTGCCGTACTTTGTGTTTTACGGCGGTATCTCCGGTGTATAACAGCAGTTCACATGTGGCTGCGTGTGATGGCGCTGTGGCGACGATGACATTTTTGGAAAACGATTTAAATCCAGGCTTCTTTAAAAAAAATTCTCCTCCTCGCGTCGCGCTCGCGCTCGCGTCGATCTCCTCCGTCCTCCCGAGTTCCTCCTCTGCTCTTGTCACCGCGGGTTCTCTCCCTCCGTCACTGCCGTGACCGCGGACTGACTGACGGCGTGGAAGCGGCGGCCGCGGAACCTGTAGCCTGGTGTTGGGGCTGAGAACACAACGGAGAAAATAATTAAAAATTAAAAATTAAAAATAATAAAAACCAGCAGGTGAAGGAGAGGACGGTTGGAGCAGCTCTTCATCACTGCTGCTGCTGCTGCTGCTGCCGCGGGGGAATCAGGCTGTGGCTGCGTTCGAACCTATGATGGGATTTTTTTTTTTTTTTTTTTGTACTTTGGAAACATGGTGTCGAAGACGGTTCTGAACTGATCCGAACCTATGATGGGATTTTTTAACAACAACTAGGAAATCGAAGAAAGGACACGGTGTTCAACTGTTTTCACTTGTTCTGTGGGTTTGTTTTTGTTTTTTTGTTTTTTTTGTTTTTTGTTTTTTTTTCATCTCAAATGTCTGAGGAGAACCGTGTGCTCTGACGCTCCGGACTCTGCAAACAAAGTGCCTGGAACTTTCGCTGAGATGTTCTGATCCAAAGACAACGGGTATCAGCGGCTCTGTTTCTTTTGAGATTTTTTTTTTTTTTTTTTTTTT